TGCGGACTTCATCTGTTGGAGACGTAAGTGAGGATAGTTATTGCGAGGTGATAATAACTAAGATGCACGCTTCCTCAAGGCAAAAGTCAGTGAAGCGCAAAAATATATGCCACAGGGATTCTGTAGGCCTTTGAATGCGCTTATCAACACGGCGCGATATTCAAATCGATAAAAAGAACCAATCCGAGTGCGGTGTATCGGCTCTGCGCGTCCGCTGTGAGACATGGGCGGCCTTGCTATGCGCATCAAGCCCAGATGACCGAAATCATGTGATTTGACGCGAGCAGCCGCTTTGCGTCAGCATACCTGCACTCTCGCAACAATAATAACTCCCAGGCTCTTGCGGGACGAAGGCTTCATGCGGGCCACAGTGTTCTCTTCAGTCAGTATCAGTCAGTATATTTGGAGTGAATGACCGGAGCCCTCAAAAACTCAATTAAAACGGTGCAGAAATGCATAGAGTGTAGTGAGATATGCAAAAATTGTTATAGATCGCTTTTTTGTGCAACAGTGCATAAAAATATTTTGGAAACATGAATGGTTGATAAGGTGAGGCGTTTGTGGCATGTCAGCGTACAAAACGTTCACTGTATATCCAGTATGAAATATTCGTCTGGACACCTTAAGTGTAAATGAAAACTCTATTGAAATGAAGCGAGGAGTATTTTGGTTTGTAGTCATTTATGTTAAGTGTGTGTTGGGCTTTAACAGATAATTATCCAGTTCTTCATTTGTCGTTAGCGTGGATAGGGACTGCGTTAAATGTGGCGCGATTTAATTATCGCTCGGCCCTCCTGTGCAGAGTTGAATTATCCAATAGGCGTCGACCAGTTTCGCCCTTTCATAAGGACTTAGTAAATGAAATATAAATATTATTTCGGCTGCTGCGACAAGCACTCAAGCTTCCACCTCCATTGTCTGTCAGACACCTACCGAGGACTATAACTGATTATGATAACTAGTCTCTGCAGTTTACTTTAGTTAACACACGAGCTATCTAATTTTGCCACGCATGCTTATGAAATGTCCTCTGATTCATAGGGTTAAGAACAGAGAAGGAACGTTTAGGAAAAAAAGACGCTCGTCGTGATTGGCACGTAATATACGCCGGTACGCTTTATCAGGTTATTTTTGTATTGCGCACCTGGAAAAAAAGTTGCCGGGAGAGAGCTACTTGTATAAAAGATTTAGCTACTAGGAGTCAGAGCATCGGAATTTCATGTCACACTGCAAGATCGTAAGTGAAAACAGACTGACTCACCGATAACAGTGGGTTCCAGATCCAGCAGGAGCGCTCGCGGGCAGTAGTTTCCATTTCTGCACTCGAGAAACACACTTTCTAATCCCTCACTGGGTGGCCCATCACCACATGCGGCATTGAATTCGCCCGTTGGACTGACACAGTGTTCTAGACAGGCCAACTCCCAAATTGCGTGGCCGAGTTGGACGCCAGCCTGGCCCATGTGAAGCGCGATAATTTCTCGCATTTTCTGGATGAATCACCAACACCTCCTCGGAAGGGCACAGTAATAAACACTCAATCTTTCTCCCAGTGGGTACTCACGCACACACAGATGCTTCCGCCCCCTCGCTGTGTGTGTGTGTGTGTGTGTGTTTGAAAGCCCCTCCTCTCACTCGTACACGCGCTGTTATTGATCCCGCCGGCGTCGCGCGTACACGGCACGCGTGGTCCTGCTGGGGGTGATTATGTGTACATACATCACACGCCAATCGACCCAAGGTCATTGATTGATGGTTTGATTGGACTAATTGAAGAACTCATTGTTTGTTTAGAACTAGCAAATTTTTTGAAGAAGCCTCAAGTTCCAAAAAGGTGAAAAGTCGCTAGAAAGTTAAGCCATAAGTATAAATATAATTGTAAGGTGAACTCGTAGCGATACCATTTTCTTTATATGAAAATTACTTTCTTTTCGTCAAATGTCTTTATAGATATTGCAGGTATTGGATTACAATTAGTTTCACGTCACTTTTGAAAGGTCGGCAAATTTTTTCCTGATTTTCAGTGTTTTCAAGCATTCTTCTTTAAATGCAGCTTCTGTTCGACATATAAATCAAAAACTTTAAAAATAATACATTTCTTAAAGGCATCTACTGAAAACGTGATTTNNNAATGTGACTTTTCATTTAGACGGCCATGTTTATAAACTGTCCAAAAAACCAAAACTCATTTTTAGGAGGTTTGGCAGATC